TTTGTTGATCTGTTGATGATAGCCATTCTGACAGATGTGAGATGGTACCTCATTGTTGTTTTGATTTGCATCTCTCGGATGATTAGTGACTTTGAGCATGTTTTCATATGTCTCTTGGCTTTCTGAATGTCCTCTTTTGAAAAGTGTCTATTTAGGTCCTTTGCCCATTTTTTTGATTGGATTGTTTATCTTCCTTTTGTTGAGTTGTATGAGTTCCCTATAAATGTTGGAGATTAAACCCTTATCAGTGATAACATTGGTGAATATGTTCTCCCATGCAGTGGGCTTTCTTGTTGTTTTGTTGATGGTTTCTTTTGCTGTGCAGAAGCTTTTTATTTTGATGTAGTCCCATTTGTTTATTTTCTCTTTAGTTTCCAATGCCCTAGGCCCACTCCCATTTTTTACACGTGGCCTGAGCAATAGTGACTTCCTAGCAAAGGCTAGGAATAAGGATTATGAGGCTCAAGAGAATAAGGTGATGAAGCTGAAAAGCAAGGTCAAGAATTGGAGAGGGCTGTTTTAGAGTGAAAAGACAGGTGTGTAAAATAACAGTGAAAGGATTGAAAATTAGAGCAAGGGTTGTGGAAGAGGTGGCAGGAGGGTCTTTTCTTCTCCTCTTTTCTTACTCAAATCTTCCCTTGATACCAATGCCACATGCCATCACCACCGATCACATTGCCAAGCCTTCACCATGGCCAATAGACCCCAGTTTGGGAAGGTGAGGAGAATGCAGGATGAGCTATGCTTTCTCCTCCCACTGCCTCTTGCCACTGGCTCCTCCCCAGTGCTGCCTTCCATGAGACTGGTGCAGAATAATGATCAGGGATCAGAGCTTTGGGGAGAAGGGGAGGGAACAAAATATACTCCTGGTAACAGGCTCACTTGTCATATGGAGAAATCTTGGCCTGCCCAAGCCTCTCAGGGAGGTGGTCTGTCAGGGTGGTGGCCCACCAGCACAGAGTACTGTCTGAAAGATGGGCATGCCCAAGACAGCAAGTTACATACATGACCGACTGAAAACAATACATTTAAACTTAAAATAATTTATGACAGATTTCACCACTTTATCCTGTTGAGAATTTTACATTCACACTGTAACTGGCTTAGAAATTTCCCTTTCTTGGGCACTACATTTTCCTAAAATTTCAAAAGAATAATCAGCTAGCTGATAATCTAGATAAAAGAACATCTGTAGCCAGTTAAAGCTCTAAAGATCATACAAACTTCATAAAGGTATTTAAAAAAAACCATAAATGGCTTCTTTTAGCTACTTACAAATATGAAACTATATCTATTTTAACATCTGTTTAAGAAGTCTAAATGTATTTTCCCTCTATTACAAAATGTTGCCTTGCCATCCCTCAATTACCGCCCCCTACACACACAAACTTCTCAGCAATTTAAAAAAGAGCTTTCTTTCACTGCCTTTTATCCCTGATAGATCAAGAAGCATATTCTTTTTTTTAAATATACTTTTTATTGATTTCAGAGAGGAAGGGAGAGGAGAAAGAGATAGAAACATCAATGATGAGAGAATCATTGATCAGCGGCTTCCTGCACACTCCACACTAGGAATAGAGCCCGAAACCCAGGCATGGGCCCTTACCCAGAATCGAACCGTGACCTCTGGTCACACCGGCCAGGCAAGAAGTATATTCTTAATGAATGACACTACTTTATCAAGAAAAAAGCCATGCCAAAGCTTTAAAGACACTATTATTGATGGTATCTTTCCAGTAGAAAAAAAGAGATTTAATTCATTTTCATACCTAGTTTACTTTCAAAGTAGTATATTCCTTCACTTCTGAATCACTTATCAAATCAATAGCATTTAGCAAGTGACTGATACTTTACCTGCTAAGTTGCTTTTGAGGTTCTACTCAAAATAAAGACTACAATGTATGTTATTAAATGTGTTTAGATTTTTGCACTATCTGTGGGTTTCTCTCACAACTGAACCCCAAAACAGTGGGTTTTCTTCTCCCTATACTTCCTCAAATCCTCTCTGCTGTACTAGAGACTAAAACAGAAGGACTAAACAACTGAAGATCTCGCATTTTTAGAGGAAGACTGTTGAGCGGATTTTAAATTATAATCAACTAATTAAGATTTAGTGAAAAATTGATTATACCAGTTAACAATATCATGTTCAGAAGAAAAGGGGGAGCAATTCACCCTAATCATATTAAATTTAAGAACTTGGAAATAAAGCATTTGTAAACTTATCAAGTACACAAAGTAACAGAATACAGAATCTAATTTCTAAAAGCAGACCCACTCAAACATCCTTTAAGTTAGTAAAAGAAACAAAACACTTTGTTAACTTCCATTTATATAAGAAAAAAGTACCACTTCCATTAGGATTCCTTCAATAACAAACTTACTTCAGAGTACAAATTGGAAAATTAATTGGTTATAATTACAATAAAGTTAGTGCTCCAACACAAATTCCTAATCTGTTTGAACTGTCAGAAAGATAAATCAAAGCCTTTAGCAAAATTATGTGTAATTAATCAAATAAAAGTCATCTCATTTCTCCCCCCTCCAAATTAGTCTTGAAATTAAAAGCCACTATTCAGTGATGAAAATGATGAAAACAACTGTAAACAGCAATAGTTCACTCAGAAACAGCTGGTCTTTTAGCATGAGAAGTTCACTGCATACTTAGACCAAAGTTGCAGTTAGTGTTACATTCCATCCCACCTGCTACACTAACAAAAACTGGCTCTACTAGACAACATCCATATTTGAGAAATGTTAAGTACAGTAAAAATCTTATGCTTAAAATTGACAGAAGAAAGTATTTGTTTACAATAAATTTACTTTTTTTTTTTTTAAGTTGACAGCTAACATCAAATCAATACCTTGGGTTTTTCTCTTCCCTTCCAAGAAGTTGAGGCAGATTGAAGATTCTGCACTACGGCAAGCTTTGCCATACCTGACTGTACACAGATATTAAATCCTACCCACACTAAAGAACTCAATAAAATTCAAGCTAAGTACTTAAATACTAAAACATTTACACGCATTTTGTATCCAAGTGATTTTTTAAAAGTACTTCAACTTCTCATGATAGTCTTGCAACAAAGCTTTTGAGAGCACTGACCCATAAATTCAGGAAAACACTCCGTTAGATGTTTTCCTTTCAAATTTTACCACTTTCAGAATTTTTCTAGAGGCACCTCAATGAACAACCTGCCAGTACCTCCAGCTAACCACAGTATGTTTTGACACAACTTTTAGGAGAAAAAAGGCAGAGCAGAAAACAAGTTGATTTCAGGACTTTTTATTAGTCCTGGCTCATTTAGTATGTAAAATCCAAGGGCCCAGAACAAGTCTCCAACAAATTAGTATTACCTGGCAGCTCATCAAGCCGGCTGCAGGGGCCAGGCCAGTCTTCCCAAGTTCTGCTGGGATTTTCAGAGGGGGGTTAATGGGAGGCCTTCCCTTGGGTTAGGGGCTTTTATCTGAAATTCTTTTTCTTCCCTCCCCATCTGATCTCTTCCCCCCACCCCCCACTCCTACAATTTTAGCTTATGGCCAACCACCCTCACCACGGAAATCCTAAGATTTCAGCATACGAAAAGCAAGCTCTCCAGAAAACAGAAGCACCCAGGCCACCTTTTTAAAATTATCTAAGGCACAAAAGCCCATCCAAAAGATAACAAATCATCAATGATGAGGAAGGCACAGCATTCGCTTCAACCTCTAAAGGAAGATCCCAATGTATGTAATATCTTCTATTTACAACTGAAAAGTAGTTTGGGGCAAATGTAGGTTTACAGTTGTTAGTATGGAAAAATAATACCATAAACTATATATATAAAAGCCTAAGCCACCATTAAGACCTGAGGAAGGGACAACCGGCTGGAAGCTATGACGTGCACTGACCACCAGGGGGAAGACGCTCAAGGCAGGAGCTGCCCCTGGTGGTCAGTGTGCTCCCCCTCCCCCCTCCCCCCCTCCATCAGGACTGGGCAAGACGCCCCAAGGGGCCAGGCCTAGGGGCCCCACCCGTGCGCCAATTCATGCACCGGGCCTCTAATTAATAATACAGGAAAAAAAAACAAAAAACCCCTGTTTCGCGTTACTCACAATTGTAAATCTACTTTGGAAAGATTTCTGTTTAATTCTTGAATGCGAAGGGTTTCTTCCTTCTCTATTCATTCAAATTAGCCAGAACTTGAGCATACTACTTAGTAACCAAGACTTTTCTTTGCCTTTACCTAGAATTTTCCTTCTAACTAGAACCTGTGTTCCTTTCAGAAGTTCGTTTCTACAGTACCGTCCACTCTGACAGAAGGCAGACTGATTTACTAACAAATGACCTTTTTTTTGGAAGGGAAAAAACCTGATCTTCAACGCCCCCTTCATTCCCCGTCTGATGTATTTACGTGCGAATCTGCCAGGGGAGGAGGTGGAACGGCCGTTCTCACCGAGCCTGGACGCAGTGGGCATCCAAGGAATGCCCACACGCACTGGAGTCCTCCGGCAACAGCGTGGGCCATTCCCCAACACTGGCTCCACCCTCCGGGCCAGCGCCAGGTCCCGGCTCCAGACCGCGCTGGCCTGGCGGTGGCGAAATGAAACACTGTCGCTCAAGGAGACCCAGGATGAGCTCAGGCAGCAGGTCCGAGGCTGTCGGTCCGGAGACCTCTCCCGCCCCAACCCGGTAACCAACCTCTCCGCCCGCAGATACGAGGGGGCAAGAGCCTCCGCCCAATCCCGCAGACAGACAGCCTGGCGTCAGGACACCGGGACGCCTGCGCAGAACCCGCCTCCCATCCTCCCGACCCCTCCGCTAGGAAGGGTAACAATACCCCCTCAGAAAGACACGCAGGGCAGGCGGGGGGCACCGGGACGCGTCTGCGCGCTCCCCACATGCCTGGTCGCGACCCAGCTGAGGCCGCCAGCCCAGCGCCCCTGGTGCTCAACCGTCTCCACCTGAGCGCGCCCGCGCGCGGAGGCTCCCACCACTCGCACTGACAGGGTCTCCTCACCTGAGCCGGGCTCCGCCCCCCTCCTCGCTGGAGAAAGCAATGACCCTTCTCCGACCCGACTCGACAGTGTTGGAGGAGGCGGGAACGTCCAGGCTGGCGTCTCCGTGATGGGATTTCCTACCCCTTCCGCCCACCCTCCCCGCCCACCCCGCCTCTCGTTCCCCAGCTCCCACAGCCCGTTGGCCGCCTTACTCTGAGAACACCGCGGCGGCGGCCGACAGTAAACGGAAGTGACGCAATGCGACATCGCCTACTCCACCTCCTCCCCTCGGGCGGAACTGCAACCAATCAGCAAGAGAGAAGCGGGGGCGGGGCAAGAGAGCAGCCAACCAGCGCGCGGAATCCGGAAGAATTTCCTAGGCTCCGGGACATTGGCCAATCCCTGGTCCCAGGAGTCTCGCTGTGTTTACTACCGACCGAATCCGCGAGCGCTGTGGCCAATCACCGTTTTCCTTACAACACGTAACACTGGTATCAAACGCCTTTAAGGCGGGATTCACCACTAAGAGGCTTTAGGTTTGGCTATAGAAAAGCTAATGTGTGTCACAACCAATCAAGACCCATTGTGGTTGAGGCGAGAGGGCGTTCTGTCTCGATCCACCAATCACAATCGCGACTGCCGAAGGTTTGTTCCACCTTTCGCGGGGCCTGAAGGATTTTGCCACTCCCCCAGCGCCGGCCCTTCCAGGACCAGCCGGCTCCCTGTTGGAGGAGAGTGCGCTTCGCCGGAGCCACACACACACCGTTTAAAAGTAATTTCTCACGTCGTAGACTTTAGAAAAAATAAAATTCCAAGAAAGTGTTTAGGTTGAATTAGCCGAAATCCAGGCTGCAAACGTTGAACCAACGCTATCGCAGTTGGGCCCGACAGCGCCCCAAGTCCAGTGCGAGGGGGTGAGGGGGGTGGCTTCTCGCAGCTCTGGCGCCGGAGGACTGAGGGGCTGGGCTTCATACTCACACATGCTTCACATTTCGTGCCGTAGGTCATAGAAGCCTACAATCTCCAAAACCAACTTCCTCCAAAAAAACAACAAAATTAGACACGTGGAATGGTAGCGTACTTTCGTGGGACGCTGTCAGAACAGAGCAAGCTCCCGAGATCCCAGGTGCACCCTCCGAGGGAGGGTCCGAGCCCTGAAGGGAGACTGGACAGGGAGCTCCTGTCCGGGAGCTCGGCTTGGATCCAAAGACAAGGGCAGGCTGGGGAACACCTCGGGTTTCTAGAGGAAGGGAAGGTGTACACTTTTAAATATCTCACTGCCTCAGAACTTAACACTGAAATATTATTAGAGCAGGTGCATCCGTACAGACGTTATAGGTTGGAAGTATTACCATTTGGGGTTTCTTTCTTTAAAGCTTCAATGAAGTCTGATGGTCAATTCTGTTCTCTAAGATTCCCTGACATTGTATAGCCCTTACAGATATTTTATTGCCACATTGGGCAGTAAAAGAAAAAGATAAAGGAATGCTGACAGCTCTTTCCGCCATCGGTCCTTGCCGCCATAATGGTGCGCATGAATGTCCTGGCTGATGCTCTGAAGAGTATCAATAATGCCGAAAAGAGAGGCAAGCGCCAGGTTCTCATCAGGCCGTGCTCCAAAGTCATCGTCCGGTTTCTGACCGTGATGATGAAGCATGGTTACATTGGCGAATTTGAAATTATTGATGACCACAGAGCTGGGAAAATTGTTGTGAACCTCACAGGCAGGTTGAACAAGTGTGGAGTAATCAGCCCCAGATTTGATGTGCAACTAAAAGATCTAGAAAAATGGCAGAACAACTTGCTTCCGTCCCGTCAATTTGGTTTCATTGTACTGACAACCTCAGCAGGCATCATGGACCATGAAGAAGCAAGGTGAAAACACACAGGAGGGAAAATCCTGGGATTCTTTTTCTAGGGATGTGATACATATGTGGAAATAAAATGCCTCAAAGGACAAAAAAAAAAAAAAAAAAAAAAAAAAAAAAAAAATGGAATGCTGACAATAAGCCGGGTGGTGTGAGTTCTTTTCACATGTGACCCTTACAAAAATGCTGTGAGCTAGACATTATCCCAAATTTACAACCTAGCAAAGATTTGTATATTCAGTACTTAGGAATACTATAGGCCCTCTCCTATATTGTTGATGGAAGTACCAATGACACTGCCTTTGAAGATAACTTGATAGTATCTATCAAAATTTTAAATATGAATTCATTCTCTCCTAACTGGAATAACTTTCTAGAAATGTATTCTGAAATGCACAAATTAACCTAGGTGAAATACACAAATGTGGGAAAATATATAGGAGGTTGTTGATCACAGCTTTGTTAATAGAAGAAGAAAAAAGAAAAAGCTGAATGTGCATCAACAGAGGATTACCAAAAAAATAATATATGCATTTTATGGCTCCTTCATTACTAATGACAAAGTAGGATTTATCCCTGGAGTGCAAGGATAGTTCAATACATAAAAATTGATCGAGCCCAGCGGTGTGGTTCAGTGGTTGAGCATTGACCTATGAACCAAGAGGTCACTGTTTCATTCCTGGGTTGTAGGCTCAGTCCCCAGTGGAGGTGTGCAGAAGACAGCTGTTCAATGATTTTCTTTCATCATTGATATTTCTATCTCTCCCTCTCCCTCTCTGAAGTCAATAAAAACATTTTTTTAAAAATTGATTGATATACCACGTTAAAAGAATGAAGGGGGAAAAAACCCATGATCATCTCAATTAATGCAGACAGTATTTGACAAAATTCAAAACCCTTAAAAAAAACACCACACAACAAACAAGGAATAGAAGGAATCTACCTCCACCTAAAAAAAAACTATATATGAAAATCCATAGCAAATATAGGTGTGCAAATATTATATTATATAATATTATATAATGTTATATTATATCTTTCCATTAAGATCAGAAACAAGAAAAGGATGCCCACTTTCAGCCCTGGCTTGTTTGGCTCAGTGGATAGAACATTGGCCTGTGGACTGAAGGGTCTCAGGTTTGATTCCGGTCAAGGGCACATGCCCAGGTTGTGGGTAGATCCCTAATAAGGGGTGTGCAAGAGGCAGCTGATCAATGATTCTCAACATGATGTTTCTATCTCTCCCTCTCCCTTCCTCTCTGAAATCAATAAAATTATAAATATTTTTTTAAAGGATGCCCATTCCCACAACTTCTATTTAACAGAATTTCTAGCTAGAGCAGTTGGTCAAGAAAGAGAATAAAAGGCATCCAAATTGGAAAGAAAGAAGTAATATCTGCACATGATAGGATCCTATATTTAGAAAACCCTAAAGATTTTACAAAAATCTGTTGGAACTAATAAAATTCAGCAAGTACCAGGCTACAAACTCAACACACAGAAATCAGTTGCATTTCTATTTGCTTAAAATGAACCAGCCGGTTTGGCTCAGTGGATAGAGCATTGGCCTGCAGACCAAAGGATCCTAGGTTCGATTCCTGTCAAGGCCTGTCAAGGGCACGATATTTCCCTCACATTGATATTTCTCTCTGTCTTTCCCTCTCTCTAAAAACTTTGAGTCTGGTAGGCCCTTCCCTGGGTCCATCCTTGAAGGGTTGATTGGGCCTCAGATGTATGCATGCCTAGGCCTGAGGAATGACCATGACTGGGAGCTGTTTGCACCATTGTGGACGAAGCTTGGATTTACGGACGGATGTCCACAGGTGTGCGTGGAGGCCCTGGAGAGCAACTGCTGTCTGCCAGCTGCCACATTTAGTTGGGGCTCAAGGTGTGCCTGTCAGAGAATTCGAAATCTGAACTTGGCCTTTCAGGTTTTGGTAAGATATACTTGTCACCATAGGAGAGGTAGATCATACCCTATCTAGTCCGTGCTGAGCAAGAAGAAACCCCACATGACTATTGGGTAAAAGCTGCAAGACTTTAGGAGTGTCGGACCCTTGTCCCCCACAACTCTTAAAGGTGCAGGCGGATGTTGGGTCCATCAGGTGTAGCGCCTCGGAGAGGCAGGCCAAGGCTAGGGCGATGCACTAAGTGGACACCACGCCTCTTCGCGCTGAGGGGCGGGGCGAATGATGGGCGGGGCGGGAATGGCGCCCCGCCCCGTTCAGAGCCAGAGCGCGGAGGGGGCGGGGCCTTGTGGGGGCGGGGCCACGCGGCCGGCGACGTCCCGCCTCTTCCGGCCCACCGCGCTGCCTCCCGCGTGTGACAAACGCGCTAGTGGCTTTAATTCCTGGGCTTGGCGACCGGAGAGGGGCCATGGCGGCGGAGGTGTTGCCGAGCGCGAAGTGGCTGTACTGTGGGGAGCCCGACGAAAGCCAGAGAGCTGTCCTGGGTAAAGACTGCGGAGCTGGAGCAGAGCCCCCCATGACTCCCCTTTCCGTCTCGGTACCTTCAGAGCCCTCCCGCCGGCCCCTTTCCCAGCTGGGCCAAGACTCTTCCCCCAAACCCCCATCCCCTTTCCTCCATCCCCTGCCCCCCATCACCCGCCCTAGTGTCCCCCGCTACCTGGGTGTCGGCCAGAGCTCCTCCGTCATCCCACCATCTTTCTGTTTCCACCTTATACCTGGATGAGGACATCCCAGTCAACGCCCTCCCCAAGGGATTTACCCAGGATTTTGCCATGCTCTCATTCACCAGGTCTTAGAACTGCTCCATTTCCTCATCTCCACTGGGCAGGGATACCCTCTGTTTCTCTAGGTCTGGACGAGGCCGCCTCAGTCTGCCCCTTCCCCTAGTTATTCCCTCATGTCGCAACCCCTCCACACTCCCCTCACCTCCTCACCCCCTCTCCCCCGTGGACCAGGGGCTCCTTCAGTCCCACTTCCGGTCGGGACCTTGCCATCCTCACCCTCCCATCACTCCTTCCCACGCACAGCCCAGTTCCTCCTCCCCATTCTGCAGCGTGGTTCTTTCTGATCGCATCTCATTTTGGGCTGTGACCTTACAGTTCAGTTCTCCAATGGGAAGCTGCAGAATCCAGATAACATGCGCTTCAGCTTGTACAAGAACAAGGACTCCACCAATCCCAGGAAGAAGAGCCAGCGGATCCTGGTGAGTGCTGCAGTGGCCAGTTGCCTCCACTCTGCAGGCCTCCGTAGGCCTCCTGGGTGTGGTGGATGTGGGAGTGAGTGAGAGGAGAAAGGGGGGAGATAGCAACGGTGCCTTTAAAGAACTCTTCTGAGCCTCAGCAGGTTGGGGTGTGGGGACAGGCTCCATTCAGTTTCGTACTTTTGGTGAACTGATGGCCTTTCATTCGTAAGTTCATTCAGCAGCATTTATTGAGCACCTTCTGTGGCCCTGTGCCCTAAGCTGCTAGGGAAACAGCTAAATCAGAACTGGCCCCACTCTGTGGGTTTCTCAACCCTGGCGATATTGACATTTTGACCCAGGCAATTCTTTGTTGTGGGGGCAGCCCTGTGCATCACAGGATGTTTAGTAACTTCCCTGGCCTCTACCCACTGTATGTCAATAGCACCTTGTAGTTGTGACAACCAGAATGTCAGACATTCCCAGATGCCCCTGGAAGGGGGATTTCCTTGGGTTGAGAACCACTGCTCTAGAGAGTTCTTTGAGATTTTACCACGCATGGTATAGAGAACTCTACAGAGGTGAGAACTGGATGCAAGGGGCACTCATGCAAGTAGACAAAGCTCAGGGCCCGAGGGAGGGAAGGTACAAGGCAGAGTCTAAGTCTCTGCTGGCCAGAATGTCTTCCTGGGAGGGTACGTGGAGCTGAGCTCTGAAGGATGGAGGAGGGTTTGACAGCTGAGGCTTAGTATTCCAGGTGAAGAGGATAACAAGACGAACATAGAGAAACAGCAAAGCTTGGCTGTATTTGAGGAGTGAATCGGCCATTTCCATGGTCCTCCTAGTAAGAGCATATAAGGAGCAATCGTGGGGGAGGTGGGCAAATAGGTTTAAGAAGGGCTTGGACTTCCAACCCTGGAGGTTGCCTGCAGGATCATTTGCTTGCATGTCTGTGAGTGAGGGGTGCCCAAGGCCTCTCTCCCAAGTCCTGTGGTGCAGATTCCCCAAGAACTTTTCAGACCAACTAGAAACCAGCACTGCCTGGGGCTTCCTTTCCTAGAGTCCTCTTGTCTTTCCCTCACGGGCACCCAGATTTACTGAGCGATGGTGGGCTCGATCGTCTCTCAGAGCGTCTCTAGTTCTAATCCACTGTTTGGACTCTAAAGCTTTTGGCAAATGTGGGAAAGAGGTAAGATGCTTAATACCTTTCAACATTGGTTGTAATGGAGCTTCTCTCTGCATTTTAGGCAGCTGAAACAGACAGACTTTCCTACGTGGGAACCAATTTTGGGACTGGAGCACTCAAATGCAACACTCTGTGCAGGTAGGGACGGGGGACGGGGCAGCTGGAAGGGGAGAGGAGTGACAGTGGCCCTGGCACTGCGGTTCTCAGCCTTTAAGGGCAGTGGGAGGTCTAGAGAGGTTTACCAAGTTTCTGTGTTCCCAGACCCAGGGGCCCTCACACCAGCATGTAGACGTTCTTTTATTTATTTATTTATTTGTTTTTTTTTATGTAGCCGTTCTTGAAAAGAAAGTTGACTTGCATTTGTTGAATTTCCTAAAAACCTCATTTATTTGTAGTATTCTTAAATTTTTTTAAAAAAATTATGATATAATTGACATATTAGTTTCAGGTATACAACATAATGATTAGATATATATATAATGAAATGGTCACTTAAATAAGTCTAGTTAACATCCATTCACCACACATAGTTACAAATTTTTTTTCTTGTGATGAGAACTTTTAAGATTTATTCTCTTAACTTTCAAATATATAATACAGTATTAACTACAGTCACCATACTGTACATTACTTCCCCAGGACGTATTTATAATCTTGTTTCCAAAAGGCAGCTGTCTTAGCTAATATGGAGTGTATGATGATTATTGCCAAAAATTTGCTTTAGGACTAACTATAGGGAAAGGATTTGGCAGTGTCAAAGGCTCTGGGGTTTCTGTCTAGCACTGCCTGCTGCTGATTGGCTGACTTTGGGCAACTTTGCCCTTCATTGATCCCAAATCTCTCCCTGCCCCATGCCCCCCACTCCCCTACAGTGAAGATTGCCCAGCCTGAACAGTTTATAACTGGCTGGGACTGGCATAAAGCACATTGGTTGCCTCCCACACGTGCCCCAATTGGGGATTGAACCTGCAATCTAGGTATTTGACGGTACACAGCAGTAAGTCACAAACAAGGCCCTTTCAGAGCCCCACTGAACCACCCTGGTAGAAGTCAGGTTAATGAGTATACGCTTAAAACTGTTAACACTGCATCATCCCTTTACAAAGATTCTCTAGTTCAGACTGGTCTGCTTCCCACAGTCACCAAGGCTTTACTTGTCTTTGCCTCCATAAAATTTATGTGTGCTGTAAATTCTAGTGTAATTCTGCATTCTTACATACCAAAAGGGCTTGCCACTGCAGCAGTGGGCCCAAATGTGTTCAGCTACCAGAATCACCTGTCGCTTTTTCCCCCCAGAACCACATCATGAACCCTCCCCATGCAGAGAATGGCTGCTCAGGGGATTATTGTTTCTTCTGAGCAAGTGGTGCATTCCTCAGGTGTACTGGGGCAGAAAGAATGTTGAGAACTTTTAAGCAGGAAAAGGGAAGTTGTATAAACAATACCATTTGAATAACCCATTGTCACTGGTATTATTCCTTCTTTACTCAGACACTTTGTGGGAATTTTGAACAAGACCTCTGGCCAAATGGAAGTATATGATGCTGAATTATTCAACATGCAGCCACTGTTTTCAGGTAGGTCCCAATCAGGGCTCAAAGAAATGCTGCATGCTTTAGGTTTGCTGGATGCGTTGGTTTGAGTTTTTTATTTTAAAACACATTTTATAGTTATTTTTAAAAGGGTGCCTTTCTGTTCGTTTTGTTTTTTATTTGAACAAGTTTTTGGTTATCCTTATTGGAGGATATTTTTTCCATTGATTTTTAGAGAGAGTGGAAGGGAAGGAGAGAAGGGAGCGAGGGGGAGAGAGATACATTGATTGGTTGCCAAACACACGTGCCCCAGTTGGGGATTGAACCTGCAATCTAGGTATGTGCCCTGACCGGAATTGAGCCGGCAACTTTTTGGATGATGCTCTTGATTTCCAAAGCCCATCTGTGAGTTTCCTAGGGGGCCATAGTCTCTAGGTTAAGAATTCCTTGCTTTGCAAACAACTGTAACTATATTTAAAATATCCAAATGCTCTTCTTTTAAAGACACGAAGAAAGTTATTCATTAACTTGTTGATTAAACAAATCTTTATTTTGTAAGTAAGAAATTGTAAATATTGGTTTATTATCCAGCATATTGACCTGGGGCAAGCCATTTAATTTGGAGGTCTAATTTTTCCTTATTGAAGAGGCTGGACCAAATGGCCCCTTCATTTGACTCCTTAATTCTCCAAATTTCCTCAGTATACTAAAGCTATATACTAAATGTTCAGTATACACTCATGTTAAGCTCTGGGAAGTCCTGGAGTAAAGAAATCTGTTTTTCTTAGATGAACTGTTAAACAAATGAATACCAAGCACTATTGCTATCTGTAGGCCTTTCAGTTTGCTTTTCCCCCCTGTTTTTGTTTGTTTTGTGTTTTGATAGATGAATCAGTGGAGAGTGAATTGACACCAGAGAGTGAGAGCAAAACTTTTAGAGATAAGGTAAGTGTGATGGAACTGAGACGTGGGACGTTAGCAAGTTCCTTCTAGGCCCTCGATAAGGATTTCTCCATCAGTAAAATGAGCTGGTTGAACAGTGTTCCCTCGCTGCTCCCAGCTCATTCATTCTGGGGTTGTCTGGACAGTTTTATACCTGCACAAGCCTCATCAGCCTCATAGGGAGCAGTCCACCTGTATGGGGCAGCTCTACAAAGCTCTGTACCAATGTTTTGAACTGGTTCTCTAGGCTGATAGAGGTGTAGCATAACACATGTTTTTTAAGATTTAATACAAGTTTTAGAGAATATTGGTTGTAGCCTGGATATTTTCATATTAATACAAAGTAAACTTTAGGATTTTCAATGTAGAATGTTCCTAAAAAGCTCATCTCACCCCAAGATGGCAAATTGATTGCATCTGCAGTGCTGCCTGGAGCACTGTATTGAGAAGGGGTGTGAGGCTATCTTCTGGCTCAGAGGGAAAGAGTGAGTGCTGTTAGCAATAGCTGTTATGGGTGTAGGGTTGGAAAAATGTTAAACTGCATGCCACAGATTTATCAACCCTAATTCTAGTCAAGTCTTTACATTAAAAAATATATATATATATTTTTTTATTGAATTTTAGAGAGGAAAGGAGAGAAAGAGAGAGAAACATTGATGTGAAAGAGAAACATCAATTGGCTGCCTTCAGTACAAAGCCCAACTAGGAATAGAACCCACAACCTGAATATGTGCCCTGACTGGGCATCAAACCAGTGACCTTTCAGTGCATGGTGCATGGGGCGGTGCTCAACCAACTGAGCCACACTGGCCAGGGCAAGTCTTTACATTTTACAGATGAAGGCTGTTGATTTGTATATGGCCCATTCCTATTTACTAGTACAAAGCAAGTTCTTCAGATCTGTTGATATCATTTGATTCTTATAACAGCTATAATTCAGCCCAATTTATAGACTCAGAGAGGCTGACAGTTTCCAATAGTCACATAGCTAGGAGGAGCAGTGCCTAGCCTGACCCCAATGATCAAATTTGTCTCTTGCACAGATGGACTCTTGCATTGAAGCCTTCGGTACCACCAAACAGAAGCGGGCTCTGAACTCCAGGAGAATGAACAGAGTTGGCAATGAATCTTTGAATCGTGCAGTAGCTAAAGCCGCAGAGAGTATTATTGATACAAAGGGTGTGACCGGTAAGTATCTGGAACTTGGGGTAAGAATCTGCTCACAGAGACAGTTTTCTCTTCTCTTGAGATCTTTTCCCCGCCCCAGTAGATGGAAATGATGGGGGTTAGGGCTGGGTTTCTTCCTGTCTCTCGCTGAGGGCCATTGCGGGAACCAACTCAGGAGGTACTAAGAAACATCTGACGTGGCCGGCTCTCAGTGAGCTCACAGTCCTGGAGAGGAGACAGGCCAGGGAATGGGTATGTGCACACTCTTCCTTGGTGCCGGGGTTACAGCCTGCAGGGCACAGAGGAGAGAGAGGGCTTCAAGTCTGTATTGATCAGTGAGGCTGGTGTGATGGTGAACTGAGCCTCTGGAGACAGTGTTTCACTTTGGGGTCAGTGGGTTTTTTTCCTACTAAATTCCTTAGAAGCTTGAATATATAATTGTATTATTATTTTTTTTTTAAAATATATTTTATTGATTTTTTACAGAGAGGAAGGGAGAGAGATAGAGAGTTAGAAACATCGATGAGAGAGAAACACCGATCAGCTGCCTCCTGCACATCTCCCACCGGGGATGTGCCCGCAACCCAGGTACATGCCCTTGACCGGAATCGAACCTGGTACCTTTCAGTCCGCAGGCCGACGCTCTATCCACTGAGCCAAACCGGTTTCGGCTATAATTGTATTATTTAAAAAATATATTTATTGTTCAAATACATTATACGAACATAAGAGAAAGTTTACATAAGAGCAGTTTTTCTATTAAAATGGAATTTCAGTAATTTTGGGGAAATCTTTCCATACCCTATAATAATGGAAATATTTTCCATGTTTTTGTTCATACTTTCATAATTTTATTTTTGCGTCTAAAGCTTAATGAAGAATACTTTTTTGGGCATATGGTACAGACCTAATTTTATGTTTTCCAAATGATTAGCTAATCCCCAACTCCATCCTTTCTTTGCAAAAGAGAATTTAAGGCTGTTCGCCTGCAACGCTCCCGGAGCTATGGAAGCATCGAGCTCCCTGCTGCCAGCCCTCCGCCTGCCGCCACCATGCCCTAAATTAAAAGTCAAGTTTATCATTTGCCACATTCTGAGTTGTGTTTTGTCCCAGCATTCCAGCGGGCTCTCGATTATAGTGGCCTCCTCATCTGTTTATTGTCTGACAGGGCAAATTCATCCTCCCCCACCTCCTTATTTTTCACAAATGTCTTAGTTGCTGGAGCAGGCTTTTTCTTCCAGGCAATCTTAAAGATTCTTTTGTCAAGTTCCTTCAAAATACAGTTGGGATTAATATGGGGAGAATCAACATCTTTACAATATTCTATTTTCTCATCCAGGAATACAGAAATATGTCCCTCTGTTCATTCAAAGACATATTTTAACGTCTAAGTAAATTTTTGAATATTTTTGTTCAGTTTACTTTCAGCTATTTAAGGACATTTAAAAAGAAAAATAATTCACCTATTTTCTCATCATTCTACCAGAATAACTGTTACAATTTTCCTGTTTTCCTCTCTGTCTTTGTCTATATACATACTTAATTTTTACATGGTTATTTCTGTGTGGTAGTTACAGTTTTAGAATTTGACTTTTTAAAATAATATGTAGAGATATTTTCTGGAAGTTAAGCCATCAAAGGCTATTGTTTTACTATCCCTCACTTTTAGTTTCTCACGTTGTATTATAAATGTTAGCTCACCTCTCTCCTGACTGTCCTGCAAGTTACTTGAGGGGATACCACATGGATGCACCTTCTCTAGGGCCCAGTTCGGTTTGTGTCATGAGTGGACATCGTGGTGCTGGAGCTGTCAGCCTGATGGGAGATCTGGCCTCATTGGCGGGAGCATTCAGATTAGAGGTTTCTGGGCTGGTTATGATCCTTTGTGCACAGGTTGCAGAGCGTGTTGGGGAATCTGATGCTTAACTGGGTGATACTCACACTGACTCTTCCTTTATTGAAAAGCTCTGGTCAATGATGCCCTCCACGATAACTTGCAAGACGACTCCCTCTGCCTTCCTCCCTGCCACGCGGATGCAGCCAAGCCTGAAGACGTGTATAAATTTGAAGACCGTATCCTTCTTCTGGTGGAAATGCTACCTTATTTCACAAGTTAGAGTGTGCACACGTGATGGCACAGCCAGGCTCTCTGGGGGGTCAGTGGTCCCATGTCACTCACAGAAGCTACATCCTGACCTTTGCAGTTGCCCAGTGCTGTTGCTGGGAAGTCAGCTATGCTTCCTGACTAGCTGAGGGTCCTGCTCCAAGCCAAATTCTCAGCCCCTGGGATTCAGACCCATTCCTCAGCAAAATGCCAAACATCCACAGCTCAGCCCTGTGGGGATCACTCTGAATAGTCCAAATATGACTTTAAGTCAGCCAATGCCCAAAGTCTAGGGCAGACTGGTTTTGTAAAAGGAAGGACTGAAATGTAAAATTCCCTACTTGTGGGTCCAATGAGATGGAAAATGCTTACAGTGGCTGTGTGATGAGAAGGCAGGAAAGCCCAGACAGGGATTGAGGTCTGGGCTGGGAGCCTGGAGAGCTGAGTCCCTGAACTCTGCCCCAAGTGCTGTGTGATCTTCCCCTCTCTGAGCCTCAGCTTTCCCACCTCTAAAATGAGGCCTCTAGAAGATGATCTAGCTCGTTAGATGTTTCCATCTTGGTCAGATTGTGCTCTTGACCAGTAACTGGTTCTTTCCCCTGCGGAGTACGAAGCTCTTCGGAGCCCATCTGAAGCTTTCAGGAATGTCACATCAGAAGAAATCCTGAAGATGATCGAAGAGAACAGGTATTCTGACTTGGGCGGATGGAGTGTCTGAGGGAGTAATGTTGGGACACAGCAGTAGTCAGACATGAAGAAGCCCTTTGGTATCAGTCATTGAGGATCACTGTGTGTTCAGCATTTGAACATGAACGAGCCAGTGTTTTCGAGAATGTTTGGGCTTCTAGACCGGTAGTCCCAAGGCTGTGGATGGCATCCAAGGGAGAGAGTTGGCCTCTGAGTGCATGGAACCTGTGGCTGCACAGAGGGTGGCGAAGCCTTATAGTTGGGCTGGGAGCTCGAGATGGACTGTATCCCCCAATGTTATGCTTGGCCTTGATTGTCTCTGGGGAGCCCAAGTGCTGGCCTGAGAGTATATGTGAGGGGTACCAGGTGTGAGGGGTGAATGGCTCCTGACAGAGCCCGTCTTACAGCACACATTCTCCCCTTCCCCTCCCTTGTTTTAGCCACTGCTCCTTTGTCATAGAAGCGTTGAAGTCTTTGCCATCAAGTGAGGAGAGCCGAGACCGCCAGGCCCGATGCATATGGTTTCTGGACACACTCATCAAGTTTCGAGCACAGAAAGTGATTAAGCGGAAAAGTGAGTCCACGTTAGACATTTGATTTTAGTTATTTCCAGTTCGTTATTTGCCTATAATTCTTAGACCAGAAGAAAATGGGAATGTGGGTCAGGTGTTTATTTTTAACGGTGTCACAGTGTTCCTATTGGTATGACTGACATGCTGAGAGGACTCTGCAGGCTCTTCATCTCCACATGGGGACAGGATAGGTTATGTGATTGTTCAGAACTGACATTCACTTCTGTTCTGCATGAGGCAAAATATACTATAGTATCAAGTGAAATTATAAGGGACTGTTAGACAAACATCAAAGAGGGTGAAAAGTTGGCCTTGCTCATGAAGGCTTATGACTAGTTTGTGTTGTGTCAGCTTATTTCTGACTGGGAGAGGAGAGAAATGTACCTGTAACCCCAGTGTCCCCTACAGCTAGAGCCATGGCTGCCACATCCATCCATCCATCCAGAGTAGGAAAGGCAGCGGGAGGCACCTGGGGTTTTAGGTACAAGGTATGTGCAGTTTTATTTCTGTGATTGGGCATTGGAGAGTCTGTTTTTCGGTACTTGGTTAATTCTTATGTTCACGTTCCAATCTCCCCTGCTTTCCCTCTCCCTGGGCTTTCCCTACCATCTACTTTGTTTACATTTTATGAATTCTGTGTCTTTAGGCCTCATTTTTCTTTCTTGTTGTCGCCCCTTCACAAAGGTCTCTTCGGCAGTTTCATTTGACAGGAGCATATTTTCATTGGAAGGTGGCCATTTTGTTTTGGGGGCCCTGCTTCTCTTGCCACATGGCTTTGTTAGTGACACTGGCGAATTGTTGGCTTCTTCTCCCAGCTCATGGAGGACATGTGGCCTGAAGGTCCTGACAGAAAATGATCCAACTCCTTTGTGTTGTAGGTGCCCTGGGACCTGGAGTTCCACACATCATCACCACCAAACTGCTGAAGCACTTCACCTGCGTGACCTACAACAATGGCAGGTCAGGGGGTGACCTATTGGCTTCTGCCAGTAAAGGAGAGAGCAGATTGGGGGGGTGAGGAGAGTGGGGAGTAGGAGCTTGGGGAAGGCCACATCCACAGAGCTACTGTGCTGAGGAGAGCACTGCCATTTGGGGTGGTCCTGGGGTCAAGCAGGTTTAGGAAACACTATACAGCACGTGCCCTCCTCCCCTCGGAGAGGTTCACTTCCCCGGGGGATGTCCAGCTACAAAGACTAACTTCACTGACACACTCCTTTCAGGGAACCCTTCTTAATGTCCCACAGAACTGGTGTTCTGTGGAAAGGCAGTGTTGCAGGAGAGGATAGGCCTATGTGGTGATTTTGGGAAGGTTCCCCAAGCAATGCACCTGGGTTTCCGTCCGGCAGTTTGCTTGGAACGTGTTTCCTGCTCTGAGTGTGCTTGGAAGAATCATCAGCAACTGAGTGTGGGTGACTACTTTCCTGGCAGCTCTGCTGAGCAGGCAGGCAGATGTGAGGGTCTCTCACTGTGCTTGGGGTGGTAGGTGTGGCCTTCTCTGTCCCCCTTGGAGGGAGCACTGGGATTGGCTCACTGTTCTCTTGGGCACCTTGAAGGACAAGGAGTCGCTCAAATTCATTTCTTCTCCCCAAGATGGGGAAGACATTAAGTACCTATGGGAACGGGTCTGGATGGTTTTATTTTGCTTTTGGAGAAATCATCTTCGAGTTTAATTTTTGGTCTCTTTTATTGTCACTGATTTTGCAGTTTACGCAACTTAATTTCCGATTCCATGAAGGCAAAGATCATTGCGTATGTGATTGTACTCGCCTTGCATATAAACGACTTCCAGATTGACCTGACATTGTTACAGAGGGACCTGAAGCTCAGTGAGAAAAGGTGAGCACACAGAATAGAAAGCTCGTTGGGGTGCCTTGCCGTATTCCTAGTGCTGCCGGAAAGCACGAGGCTCCATCAGAACTGGGGACATTTAGTAGGGAAAAGACTTGGGACTAGAGGACAGTTGTCAGTGAATGAATGACTGTAATAGATGAGGTCACACAACCCAGAAGGGGAATTGTTGGGCTTCAGACCTGAGCCTTCCCACGGCATTCTGTCCCTGTGTAACCAGGCAGCCTCCGGTCTCCAAATACCTTTCTCTGGGAGATTCTGTATGGTCCTGAGGGTGGAACCCAGGGGTGGAAGTTACAAGAACCCAATTTCATCTTAGCAAAAAGACCTTTCTCAGAGTCAGATGGAGGGGCTGCCAGGTGGTGGGGCCGCGGTTTGGCAGGGATGTCACACTGGGGCTGCTCTTACTGAACTGGAAGAGTTGGCAGAGATGACCTTTCAGAAGGGATTCAGACTGAGTAGGAGCAGAATTCCCAGGATTCCGAATGATGGAACCTGTAGGGGCATCTGACCCCCAAGGACCCTGATGTTCAGGAGAGCCTGTAAACGCCTGCCTGGGCCTAGCAGTCCATAGTGGGATTATTCTGAGGGCTGTCCACCGGTGTTGCATTCTCACCGGCAGTGATGGTGCAAATCAGAAGGTACTTAGGGGCTGTTTCAGCACACTTCTAGCAAGTGTTCAATCCTGGTTGTAGGAAGTAAACCAAATTTATTAACAGGAGCGATAGAGAACCTGGGTTGTAATCACCTATAAGGTATTTTCTAACGGCCACACATGAAAATGAAATTGTCCGTTTGAAGTCTCTCGGGGGATCTCATCTGCCTCTCGTGGGGGTCACTTTGGGGATCTGTCTTCATAGCCTGGAGCACCAGTCCGCCGCTCCCCTGCCCCCCTCCCTGAGCAGTGACATTGAGGAGACTCCGTTTGTTTTGTGTGTGTTCCTCAGGATGCTCGAGATAGCAAAGGCCATGAGGCTGAAGATCTCTAAGCGAAAGGTGTCTCTGGCAGCCGGCGGGGAGGAGGAGCACAGACTGGGTACGCTGTGCATCCCGCTGCCTCCAGCCCAGACCTTGGACCGCCAGTCAAAGCGGAGGAGACTCACGTAGAGGTGTGCTTTCCAGACAGAAGCTTGGCCACATAACAGCCACTTCCTCTGTTCATTTCCATTTTCATTTTTTAAAGGGGGGAAAAGAAGCCTTGCTCTGGCATGGGTATGAAGCCACAAGCCAGCCTCTCAGTCATGCTTAAGCAAAAACATAAAGTGACCATCATATTGGACTTTGTCTCCCTCCTTCAGTGTTGCTGTGATTATAAATGGCAGATGGTTCTTGTGTTGTTTCACATGTGGCGATGTGGGAGGTGGGGCTTGGGAAGCCAGAGCCAAAAGATCTCACAGAAAACAAATTGTACCACATGATCTTAAGAAGAAAGGAGCTGAATACATGGGTAAGCTGTAAAGTTGTTAAAGGGGTGCAGGAGTGGGGATCAGGAGGTTGCCCTCAGAAGTGCTCAGTTCAGAACACACTGCTGGGTTGCCGTCCAGGCATCAAAAAACCACTCTGCCCCTCAACTGCTTGAATTCATGAAGCTGTGACTGGACCCCGAGTTCAGCCACCCATGCTTTTAATACCCACATTTCCACCCCCTTGCTGGTCAGCACAAGTAACCAAAAGATCAAGAAGCTGGTTTCCATGTTGCTTCCTTCTGTGAGTGCTTATGTAGGAACTAATTTGCATCCAGAATCCTAGCAGCAAGGGAGTCTTGGAAATAGGTTTCAGCTCTCCAGCTTCTAGTTACAGGAAGGCATACCTGAAGGAGACGGGAATGGATTTTGACTGCCAACAGCCTGTCTGCCCCGGGGGAGATGGAGAAGTCAGTGTCCTGAGGGTGCTGTGAGGAACGGGAATGTGATATGGAGGCTTGGATGTGTGGCTAACACGCAGACTCAGATCTTCAAGGCTCTTCTGGGAGCAGCTAAGGTTTGTGGTGCCCAGTGCTGGGGAGCGAGGAGCCGTGAAGGAAGGAAGACAGAATTCATCTCTGAAAATGAGAAAGGGGGAAGTCTATGCAGCAGCTGGGCCATCCATCAGGGAAGATGGTGGAAATGATTCTTAGGTGACTCACTTGACAGGTGGTCCTGTATTTCTTCGAGCTCTGGGATGCTGTTACGAGAGCCCCTTCTGGAGCGAGGCCATGCCGACAGTGTGTATTTTTCATGCTCTTCTCCGGTTTGTCTCATTCGTGTCTGATCCTAGGCAGTGGGCATTTGTAGCATATGTTGTCTCCTGCAGAGGTGTGAGCAGGCAATCTAAATGCCTCTTGTGTTTCCTGATCTAACCTGTTGTGAAAATCAAGTATGTGACTCTGCATTCCTGATCTGCCTCTGGGAAAAGAACTAATGTGCTTATAGGGTAGAATGTGTTTTCATGAATGTTTTTTAGATTCTGAGGGGCTGTCACTTGGAATTTCCAGGAATGATTGGGTCACAGCATGTAACCAGGCCTCTGAACAACCTCTGTCCCAGAGGAAGCAGCCTGTCTTCAGTCACACACAGAGCAGTGGTATCGATAGGGAAGAGTCTAGGATGGCAGGTACTCGTCCTGGGTGACAACAGGTGTAACCTCACTAAATGTAGGCGGTGCATTCCCAGAGGCTGAAAAGCACATTTCTGTATATAAGGGTCTTGTGGGTTGAAAGGCTCAAGAGGGTCCTTGTTCAACTTGAACTAGTCTCCTAAAAGCAGCTAGCACAGTGCCTGATGCAGGCAGTGTATGTAGAATGAGTCATAGTTCATGAACTGCACCTTCTTTCCTTGGCAGGGCTATTCGGGGGTAAACACTTGCAGAATAATGGAATCGTATTTATTTTTTTATAGCTCTAAAAAACCATTTGTTTACTAATACATTCACAGTGGATACCTTGATCTCACCAAGTGTTCTGCCATAAGGTCTCCTGTTGTCCTCTTCGAAGAAAGGGAGGCTGTGGGCTAGAATCGTACCCTTAGTAAGACTTGCGGTTTGTGGCATAATCTTAACCTACAGGTGTTGGCTAACTGTAGACGTCCTGGGGGAAGGTCTCTGCCTGTGGCCCTGACTTATTGTACATTGTTAACAGGGATGAGATCAAAGAGGATATATTCAACACACTGGCAGAGGACCCCTTTAGTGTCTTTTAAAAACTTTATTTTGATATGTCATACTTAGAAAACAATTGCAAGAGTAGTACAAAGATGCCCTAACCGGTTTGGCTCAGTGGATAGAGCGTCAGCCTGCGGACTCAAGGGTCCCAGGTTCGATTCCGGTCAAGGGCATGTACCTTGGTTACGGGCACATCCCCAGTAGGGAGTGTGCAGGAGGCAGCTGATCGATGTTTCTAACTCTCTATCCCTCTCCCTTCCTCTCTGTAAAAAAAAAATCAATAAAATATATATATATTTTTAAAAAAGAGTAGTACAAAGAACTTCTATATATCTTTTACCCAGATTCTCCAGCTGTTACTGTGGTGTCCAGCTGTGTGGGAGAGCAGGCCCTGCCCAATGAACCAATGAGGCTACTGCAGAGCATTCTCAACTTCCCGGTTATTCCCCAACCACAGAAGAGCTGGGATGGGTGTTCTGGTCCACTACTGCCTCCAGGTGACTTGGAGGACCTGGTGTGTCTCAGCTGTTCCTTTTTCTGCTACCAAAGCCCTAGGTAACACCTGTCCTACCTACGCGCTCTTAACATTTGATATAGTGAACTATCACCTCCTGGATCTTAACCAGCATCACCACTCAGGGCCTTAATCCCTTCTGTTAAAAAATGGGGCAATAACTTCCCAAAGTCGGTGTGTAATGTACTGCAGGTGGAACAGGAGGTGGTTTTAGTGGCACAGGGATATATCAAAACACAGGTGTACGCGGGTTAGACTAAAGGGCAGCAACAGATTCCCCCAAATGTCACGTTTCAACAAAAGGTTTACTTGCTCGGGGGATTGCGAATATCTTAATAGTCTGTTTTAGTATGAATTAGAAAACACTAGCTTTTCATTTATAAGTAGTGATGCAAACATTTCTTTTTAGTTCGGCAAAGTTAAGTGTCCTGGATAGGATCCAGGAATGGAAAAAGGACATTAGGGAACAACTAAGAAAATCAGAGAAAACCATAGACTTTGGTAAATAATAATGTGTTCAATATTGGTTAATCTGACAAATGTACCACACTAATGTAAGATGTGAGGGAAACCTGGGGAGGAGGGTAATATGGGAACTCTGTACTACCTTATCTGCTCACTTTTTCTGTAAATTTAAAACTCTTCTAAAAAAAGTCTTTAAAAAGAGGGTTTAAAGAAGAATATTAAGTATTAACTTTCTCCTCTGGTGACATGTGGAAATAGCAAAAACTAAGATGCTGAGTAACTGAAGTTGGGAGAATGTGTTCCTGGGTCTGCCCACACCCGGGACTGCTACTGTTGATCTTCACAAAGCCCAAGGGCTGCAACACCCGCCCCCCCAACCTCCCAAGCGATGCACCAGGAAACAAACCTGGAAGGACAGGGTGGGCCTGGGATTCCATTCCATCCCCTTCAGAGGAAGCCTCGGGAAGGCGGGAAGGCGAGCGGTGCAGTCTGCATCCAGCTGCCTGGGAACTCCAGCATATATCCAACCAAGGAAAGTCCCCCCAAATTCCCTCTTTTAAAATATAGAACTTTATTTTAGTTGCTGAGATTTTCATAAGCGCTTGGTTCACAGAAAAGTCATTTCTTACAAAATAATAAAGGCAGCATTTTGTACAGCGACTCACATTGGGGCCACCAGAGAAGTGCAAAGGACAGTGGGGATGGAAGAGGCCAGCGCTCTTGTGCCTAAAGTCCTCAAGAAGCCCGTGCTCCTGGCTCCCTCCAGCCCCCTCCCACCCGACCTGGGACCTGGGAGAGCAGCACCGAGGGCCTGGCAGAAGTAGCCTGGGAAGCCATTGGTGAGGTGCACGACAGCGACCCCAACAGGCTGGTGAAGGCCTGGCATGAAAGACCGAGTGGGAGGGGATTGTTCAGGTAAAGGCTCCTGCATCCAACCCCGTTTCTCAAGCAGCCAGGGCAGGGTCTGAGCCCGCCTAGAACCTTGACACTCACAGTACAGCTCAGTGAAGCCCTTTGGGAACTGGCCTTCCTCTGCCCACTCGGGCTACAGACCCTACCCCAGACCTAGGCTGGGTACTGGGAACAAAGACAGTGAGATGGGGCCTATGCAGGTGAGTGGGACGGGGATGGACCTGGAGAACACCAGGCGGAAAGTGCTCCGTACAGAGGGGGCTGGGAAAGGACAGTGGCTCAGCAGGAAGAGCACTGCCACCTGGAGGAGGGGGTGCTCTGTGGAGATGGCAGTGTCTGAGCCCATGTGAATGGTGGGACCTGGACAGAGGGAGAGAAGGGCATGCCAGGAAGGGGAGAGCATGAGCCAAGGCACATAAGGGCCAGCAAAGGCAGGTGGTTGTCTGTGAGAACGCGGACACAGACAAGGGGCCCTAGGCACCTGCACCTCCACCAGGCTGGTGCCCAGCAGGGGGCGGCTGGTGTGGCTGTGCTTGTGGGATGGGAATCCTTGGCAGCAGGCACCAAGCTAACGTCCTCCCGAGTTTGGGAGCTCCTGGCGGGTAGGGGGAGTTGTGTGTCCCTGCACTGCCCAGCCTGGCACCTGAGCCACTGCAAGGAAGCCCCTCCTGTTCTCCACATGTCCCTTGTCATCCCTAGGTCAGCCTTTTAAGAGGGGCTCCCTGTCCTAAGCCCCTCCTCCATCACAGGCCCATGTTTAAGTATAAAACAATGTTCTTAAGGAAACCAAACTCAACTCCCCCAGCCCCTGCAGGCAGCTGGGAGGGGGTGTGGAGTCCTGGAGGGACAGAGGGAGTCAGGAAGGGGAAGTCCTGGGGCAGCTGTCTCCACCTCCCTAGAATTTCTCCCCTCACTCAGGAGTGAATCTCTTCCCCGGGAGCCTGCTTGGTGTGTGTAAGATGCAGTTAGCTCCCTGTAACTCAAACAGAAAACCTGACTGCAGCTTCAGTACTGATTTTCCTCAACTCTTCATAATCTACAGGAGCTGGAGGGACTGGAAACCCAAAGTCTGTTCCTTTTTCCTTTGAGAAGCACTCAAGTGCCTTCCTACTGAGGGTGGTGGAGCTGAAGGGTTTTGGAGGTACCTTGTCCTTAGTCCCCAGGAGGCCTAGGAGCCTGCTTCCCAGGGGCGTGGTGAAAGGGATCCGGAGCCTTCAGACTCGAAGGCTCTGCCATCCCGAAGGCCTCACCTCTTAGCTCAGCTGGCACTGTCCGCCTGAGCCTGAGAATGGTGTGTGG